TAGGCAGGCTATCCACCCATTCCCCTACCCCCACCCTTAGAACACGTGGCTAACCCGGATTCCAATCCTGTGTTTTGCTGAGCACTTTGACCCATTCCGCGCCATCTGCCTTGTCTTCATGTAGTTCCACTACATTTGGGTAGCCGCACCTGGCTGCTTCTCAGACCTTGATTCCGCCGAGGATGAGCCGTTGTTGTTGTTACACTCCATGTGGTGGCTGTTTCTGGCTGCCAACTTGCGCCTTCATTTGAAGCATCTGTCGCTTCTCCCTGGGGGAGGAGGGGGAGGGGAGGAGGGGGGGATGCAGGTGGTGGAGGGGTGACGGAGTGGTTTGAGGACCGGGGAGGTGGGAAGGGGGGTAGATTAGGGAGATGGGACAAGGATAAAGTTCTGATCTGGGTGCGGTAGTTGGAACCTTGGCACAGGGAGATGCTGCCAAGTGGGTTCATTGACCACCCATCTTTTCCACTGGATATTAAACTGGTAGTCCAGTTCGAAAAGCAAATTGTTTTTATCCTGCCAAATGGAGTGGAAGAGGGCCTGTGATGCGCAACCTCACGCCCCGCACGGCGCTCCGTACGTCGGACACTGATCAGAGTTGTTAGGGGTGTGGCCGAGGACTTTTGGCCGTGGGGGCTGAGCCACCCGGACAAAACGGGGGACTCTTGCTTCAGGCCGAGGTGCCTAGACGGGGGTTTGAGCTGTCGCAGGGGGCGAATAACGGTAGAGTGGCGCCCAACGGCCCGACCATCATCACTTGGTTTGCCCGGCCTTTGGGGCGGAGGCCCCGAAATCAGGTTCAGGTTTCGGCGTCCGGGTCGTCGAGTCCGTGTTGTCGGCACGGCACGGGGCTGTGACGCCCAACCTCATGCCCAGCGGGACTTCCTGATCGGAGTGGGATTGGGGGCCAGAAATGTGAAAAAGGGGTGTGCCAAGGATTTGAGGATAGTGGGGTTGGAGTTCCAGGTCAGAACTGATATCTCCTGTGGCAAGCCTTGGGGGCAATTATGCAAGATAGTAAGTGCAAACCATGTCCGACTTTTATGCCTTGGGGGATGTCATCGCCATCCCCGCGAGTTCGTTGCCGAGGCCGGACTCGGATTTGGTGAACCGGTGGAACGCTATGTGTGTCGCGTTGCCTAACCAATCGCCAGCCTCGGTCGTGATAGGCCTCCAAGTCAAACGAAGCAGGCCTCAGGCACAGGCTGTGTGCTCGTTGTTCGGCCTCAGTCCGGGTTCGTCGAACGAACCCCGCGGCTCGGTACCCGCTGTCCTGCTGGCACTCGGAGCACGGGGTTCGAGGCCAGTAGGGGGCGAGTGCGTGGCACGGGGCCGCCGTCAGGCAGTGAAAGGGCAACACAAGGCGGTAGGGAGCGAAGTCTGTCTCAATGATGACGACACCGGGTTCGGGCATGACGTGGCTTACGTGTGAGCTGGGGAACTGGGAGGGAAAAGGGATCGCACTTAGGGCCCATTCGATATCCCACTCACATACACGTTCGTTTCCCGTCCAAAAGGGGAACTTTGGAGGGTTGGGGCGGGGTTGTGCGAGAAGACATGTGTTTTTCCACTCCCAGTATTCTCGGAACCGTTGGTGTCTCAGGCTCTCTCGATCCGTGACGTGGAAAGGAATCCCATCACCCATGCTACCTGTTTTTTGCGAGTTTAGACATGGACTCGAGCGTGGGTCCTATAGACGCGCGTGCAAGCAATGTTCGTTTTGATCGAGCCAGGACGTATGCGCACGAGTCCACGTTTACGACCAGTTGGATCGGATCGCCCGACTATCCCTTTGGTCAGGAGATCGTCTGACCCGTCGTCATGCTAGCCCGTGCGCGCGTCAAGAAACAAACATTAAGAAGGCAATCCGTTGGCAATCACTCATTTGAATTGACTTACCCACCAGAGCATACACCACCCAGATCCGTCGAGTGTTCGTTAGATTCTTCTCTCTTATCCAAAAAGGGAACGGGAAACTGGCATGCATACTCAGGCATTGATCGAACTCATACATCAATCAAACTCAAGGGTCGTGTGGATTTCCGGAAAAGCATAGCAAGAGATCGACCAGGGGCTGTGCATCAAGCCATGTCACCGAGGAAGCTTACATCATCATAACCCAAGCTCCCCTAGGTCGCGTGCAGACAGTCGTCGTGCCCGATCTCATCATACCGCAATGAAACAAGGGTGAGGGGGAAAATCAAACCATTCACAAGAAGGACACAGACCAGGGGTAGTCCTCAACGGAAAGAGGACCGACGCCACTCATCAAAGCTACATAGGTGGGAGAAAGAAAAGAAGGACACCATTCCACACATATCATAAGCTAAAAATAAAAAATGATTCGCAAGAAGATCGGAACGGCCATAGCAAAATCGGCCAAGGTTGAAATCAAAATTTATACTGAGGGTCTCTCTCTCTCTCTCTCTCTCTCTCTCTCTCTCTCTCTCTCTCTCTCTCTCTCTCTCCCTCTCTCTCTCTCTCTCTCTCTCTCTCTCCATTCATTATGATCTCTGATGCGGGAGAGACGTCACCTCGCACCAACACCGAGTCGTCACCCCGCTTAGTCCAAGTACGCAAGCCTGGTTCGCCCATGCGCCACAGTCCGTCGTTGGCCAGCTCGTCGGGTCGCCCGACTCACTTCGACTCATCTTCTCACTTTACTTGTTAGTCGATCCTCACTGACCGCGCCAACTTCCAAATTCTGAGAGAGCAAACTAATCGAGCTTGCGAAATTTATAGCGTGCATGCTTGCGCGATGAACTCGGGATTATGCCTAAGTGAGGGAAAGGGGAAGAGAAGGAAGTGTCTACGCATGCATAGCCAAGCCGCGGTGTGGGGGATGCAGCCACATTCCACACATCGATCCGGTCATGCAGTCGCTCAGGCCAATTAGAGTGGAGGACGAGGTATGCCCGACAGAGGGGAAGAAGGCAAGGAAACACGAGAGAATCAAGAAGAAGGAGTACAGTTACAATTGCATCCGCCAAAAATTACAGTTACATGTAGGATTAAGGGTGTGATACAATCAAAGCCCAGTTCCCGCTGCAGTGAGAGGTGCACGAGCAAGAAGCGTGGCGCAACAAAATTCCAGAGGACCTAAATTCCTAGTCTAAATCCTATTTGCAAAGAGAAATTACGAAGAGCTTCAAAGAAACAATTTCAAGAGCTCGTTATCCGTTGTAAATTTAAAAACGACATTCCCGCTCGCTAATCGCACCAAAATTCTTATCTCCCACAGCAGAACAAGAAAGCAGTTATGGCAACCATTATTTATCCCGCTCACTAAGGCACGGTCACTCAATCGTCGTCGAGGGACTTTTCCGGCTCTGGTCCCGAAAGCAAAGAAAGAAAGAAGCGAGGATATTCATACAACTTGTCCGGCCAACCCTCCATTTTTCACCCAACCAACCAGTTTCCAACCCCCGAAGCCGCTTCGCGCAAGAAGTCATGCGATTGCGAAAAATAGTTTGTCACATATGTGACGCCCAGGGGGTTCCAATCTTGAGCAAGCTCCTGCTTGCTCTCTCATCAGCTGTTGTCTCGTGATCCGAGGATGGAGGGGGAGTTCGCACGTGCCACTTACCGTAAGATCTGAGTGTGGAAGTCATCCAACGTGGCATTCGTGCGCTCCATTCTAAACGTTACCCGGGAAAGGCAATCTGATTACGGGTGGAGGAGGTGGTGGATGGACTTGGGGAAGGGGAGGCATGAAGCAACGGATCTCTCGATCGTCGGTGGGGAGTTGGGTGTAATGAATCATGCGGTGAATGCGGGGAAAATGAGGGTGTCGACGTTGGTGGGGGAGTGAGGCGAGGTAATCGGGATAGAGCGTACAGAGGGTGCGGTGGATAGCAGCACGGAATTCGTCATACTCCGCGCACACTAGGATCGTGCTCGCGATGATGCAATACAACTCTATATTATTGAATTATTGTCAATCCACGTTAAAGAGAAGGACGTGGAGGGGGAAGGAGGTAGCGAGCGAGCGAGTAGTAACGATTGGGAAGATTGTGATCAGGAGGCGAGTGGAGTAGAGATGGTGGAAGAGGGAAGGCGGGAAGGGGTGCCATCCGTCAGAGAATGGGGGTCGGCCTACGAGCTGCTGAATGAGGAAGTCATGGGGACGACGGGATAACGACCGGGGACGAAACCCGAGCGCCCCCATCTCGACGTAGGTGAAGGTTGGGTCGGGGAGGGGATTGGGCCGGGGATTCACTTCTTCGGCGACGGCGGCTTCCCGATCCCTCTGCAGTGGCGCCTCCAATTTTTTCGGCATGTTCTTGTGGCAGTTCCAGATTGAGCGTCGGATCGCCCTGTAGCAATTGCGGCAGTGGCCCTCCTGATTCCTCGATCGGTCACTTGCCTTCTGTCGCTGCCTGTTTCCTTTGTGCCACGACCTCTCTCTCTTCCCTGCTCAGTTCGTCAGAACCGCTCAACTCACCCGATTCGGCCTCTTCTTCCTTAGTCTCCTCCCGTTCCGAGTTGGCCTCTTCCGACTCGGCGTCCTCCGATTCGTGATAATCGGGATCGTCCGACTCAGCCTCCGATTCCTCCTCTTCTGGCATTTCCTCTTTTTTCGTGTACTAGAGATGGTCGTCCTCCTTGATCTCTTCCTCGGCTGCTTCCTCTTTCTCCTCTTTGGCTTCCTCGCTGGTCTCTCCTACGTTCACTCACCGGATGAGAGGATCCCAAAAGGAGAGATCAGTGACGTCGATGACCTGGTAAGCGCCCTCAGAGGGATAGTAACAATGATCCACGTTGATCTTCGTGCATGTAGACCACAGGAGATGGGGGGTCAAGGTACAGGCGAGTGTGGCAGTCCAGGGCCTTTCGTCGCAGCGTGAGAGGATGTCCAAAGGTAGGTCATCCAGCAGTTGGGTCAAGAACACCAGCACATCGTCTGTCTGTGTATACATCCGTACGAATACGGCCCGTCCCAACGTCCGGATGTCCATACGTACGTGCCCCCCGGCACCCGTACGGCCCGTACGTACGGACTTCGGGCCTTTCGTTTGTTTTTTTTTTTTTTTTTTTTTTTTTTTTTTTTTTTTTTTTTTTATTTTTTTTTGTTTTTTTTTTTTTTTTTTTTTTACTTTTTTTGTCGGGGCCAGGGGTGCCGACCCCCGGCCCCCAGAACCCCCGCCGGGGCCCCGGGTCCGGGGCTCGACAACCCTGCTTCGGACCCTTTCTAAGTCGCTAAAGCCTCACACCCCCGCCACGTCCCTCTGAATCCTTGGCGTCACCCTCTGGCCCTTGTGTGGGCGGAGTTGAGGTGCGCCCAACCTGCACGGGGGGCGATCAGGCACGAGGGCTCCCTGATTCGTCCCAGCATCCCTCAACACCAGTCCTGCCCCTCGCTGTGTCCTCGAACAAATCTCTGCCGCCGCTACGCCGGCGAACCTCCTCAGGGTCACTCCACACGCCATCGCCGCCCTCTGCAAGTGGGGAACCGTCAGCGCCGTGGGGGCGAAATCCCTCACCTATCTCCTTGCGCTCATCTCCACTCGAGTCATCTCTCAGGTACAGCCTCAAAGTGGTGTCCCATCTCCCAAACACATCCTCCACAGGAGGCGGTGGCTGTGACCCACAAGCATCCCGCCTCCATAACTGCGCCCGCGCATCACGGTCCTCCTCCGGTATGTTGTGGTCCACCCCCTCGCAGACAGCGTCTGCCTCCAGGCCACCCTCGCCATCCAACATGGACTCGTCCTGAGTCCACGGAAGAACCAAACCGCCACCGGCGCTCTGAAGAGCCAAAAGTCGCGTGTTGGCCGCGATCTCGACCAACTTCACGACCTTCAGGAACAACAACTTGTTACGCTTCTTCATCTGAACACTCTCATAGATGGCCCAGTTCCGGTCCCTTGGAGAGGATCACGTCCACATGTACATGACACGAAGAGCGATACATTGAAGCTCCGAAGCACAATCGCCATACTTTGACCACCAAAGACCGCACTCAACGGTCTCCTGCTCCCCAACACACATCTCCGCAGCGGTGCGTGCCCGCTCCCCTCCCCAGGAGCAAGTCGATGTACGCATATGAAAGTCTCGCAGCTGCAACACAGCGTCTCGGTACTCCTTGCGCCGCTCATCAAACCCAGTCTGCGACAGAATGTACCGCTCTGCCTCCCTCACAAGCCATTTGTCCTCATCGGTCACCACGCCATTGTAATATTGCATTGACCTCCTCATCGGACAGAGAAGGTACGCCGCAGCATGTGCAGGCTCACACATATAACCGACGTGCTCTTGCACGTACCTGAAAATCTGGTCCGCCAATCCATCCTCTAGCGGTGCAACAACCGCCTTCATGTCCTCCGCCAACCGCCTCGCCTAGTGGACCACTCGAGACATGCATAACCCTCCATGATCCATCTTACGCAGCAGATCATAAGCCGGCTCCATAACGCCACGCAAAATGTCCATGGAGTCCCACCACCTGCTATGCCGGATCTGCCACTACACCCACCACGCATGTTGTCTGATCGAAGCAGTTGCCCAAGGCTCTGTGCACAAGTCAGTCCCGTCTGCCATCCGCTCCAAAGGACGCCGTACAACATCCAACATTGCGTACACAGAAGCGAAGCGGGTCTCACAAGAGTACAACAACCCGAGATGGCGACTCTCTCTCTTGAACAAAAAATGAGCTCGGCCATGCATTTTTATGAAATGCATTACCACTCTCGCACGCACAATGATATCTACGCACCACGGTCCCGCTGTCCCGATGTCAGACAACAACTTGTTGCACACATGCACTGCGCAGGGAAGCCACGTAATCCGTCTGTACTCAGGCCGCATGTGCTGATCGGCCAAAGCGTTGCCTGCCTTTACTTAGGCAGATGCAGAGTCTGTGCAAATGGCGTTAACCCTGTCGGGACCAAAGTCGTGGAAAACCGATATCCACCTCCCCAACACTGTCAGCGCGTCATCAGTCTCACCCTCCCTGTTGAGGATGCGATACATCATCACTCCTCGAGAACCAACTGCAAGGAAGTTCACGATTGATATCCCATCATGAGACTTCCTGCCATCGGACATGACTGTTGCTCCAGTGCAGTCAAACGGCTCCTGTATGTCTTTGAGACCTGCAACAACGTCGATCGCCATCTCAACCACTGTATCCATCGATGCGACTTCGTTCTAAGAAGGCCAAATCATGGGAACTGAAAGGGGTTTGTCCCTGAAGTGTGCAGTGTACGCCTTCCATGTGGGGCTCTGAAAGATATTGAAGGCAAGTTGGTTGTTGTACACGAAGCGCAACCACATCTTTCTGTGTTTGGCAGCCCTGTCAGACCCCAACACCTCGTTTATCACCGGCTGCCTCATCTTCTTCCCCTGCTGCATCGCTGCACCAACCACACCCTTCCTCCTCCCTAAATTCGAATAACCCTCACCGATGGGCAACTTGCCTGGGCACTGTAAGTATGTAGCCTGGACCTCCCCCTCGACCCCCCTCACCTTGCTACCCTCTCCATCGCCATCCACATCGATGACGTCATCGCCCTGTTCTCGTGCCCGAACTGGGGTGGTGGACGGCGCCCTAGCTTGAGCCTGACCCCCATCAGTCCCCCTCTCGTCCGCCCAAGCACTGCGAAGCTCCTCGTACTTGCGTATTCGTTCCAACCACTTTCCCTCAAACGCGTACCCACTCGTGTAATGCATGTCCATAAGAGCTTCATCGGTCACCTGCGAACAACCCTTCACGCTTCGAAAATGTCGCGTCACCCCATGCCTGTTCCCCTGCCACTCGTTCGCGCAGAAAATGCAACGAAGCATCCTCTGACCACGGAGCTTCTCAGAAAGCTCCTGGCCAACAAGCACGTATTTGTAAACGCTGTTCAATCTCTTCATGCTCACCTGCGTGTCGTCGCTGGCCTGGACGAAGGTATTTACTTGTCGCTTCAGCATTTTCGTCGCGCCTCGTCAACCTGTACCAAACGGCCGTGATCAAGCCTTCTGTTGGCCCAGCCCGAAATGGACCACCTGTCGCTGTTGAAGCGCAGACCAAACCGTCACCCCCCCCCCCCCCCCACCCGCCGACCCGCCACCCGCCGCTGCAAAAGCGCAACCCAAATCCACCGCTGCAAAAGCACATCCCAAACCCCCGTAACTCGCCGCTGCAGAACTGAACCCAAAACCCCCCTCAAGTTCCTCAACCCCCTCGGCCAACCGCTGCTGCCGCACCCTCCACCCGGGCCCTAGAGCGGACGCGGCCTTTTTGAGCGCGCGCTAAAAAATCTTAGCGCACGCACTCAAAAATTTTGGCGCACGCTAAAAAAGAATAGCGTCGAATGGTGGCGGCAGTGACGTCGTCGTCGTCATGCTCGTCACCGTCGTCGTCGTGGCCGTCGTCGCTGTCGCCGTGCGAAGCTCTCTCTCTCTCTCTCTCTCTCTCTCTCTCTCTCTCTCTCTCTCTCTCTCTCTCTCTCTCTC